TTCAGCTACAAACTGAGTTCAAAGTAGAAACATAGCTTGCATCTAGCAAACTAAGGACCCTTCCACATTGAACTGTGATTATATGGCAGTGTGGACTCAGATAATCCAGTTCAAAGCAGATATTGTGGATTATCTGCCTTGATATTCTGGGTTATATGACTGTGTGGAAGGGCCCTAAGCAAGGGAAGAGGAGAGAGAGGAAGGGCCTTTTCCGGTTGGCTCAGGCACATGTAAAGTGCTTTAGCCTCTCCTAGCTTGTCCATTCTTCCTTATTAACAGCTTCGGCTCTCTTGACCATGTTTTGATGTTATTTGGTCACATTGTTTTTCATCAGTATAATGTTGAAGGGCATGGCATTTCGATACATATTAAAATATAAATGCGCTTTCTTTGAAAATATACCCTGTAAGGATATTTTAATATGTTTTGCTTTGTTTTTGAGTTACCCACTGCGCTAGAAGAACAGATTGGAAGTGTGAAAATGTAAATTTGGATTTACACTTATGACAGGTGAATGCTAAAGGTGCTAATCTAGTTTTTGGAGATTTGCAAAAATCAGTTTTTCCAAGCTTCCCTCATTAGAAGAAGTAGCCTCTTCTCATTCAGTTGCCATCTGCAGACAACTGCAAAAAATAGCATTTGGTTGTGAACTCCATTCTTTGTGGTCTACCCAACAAGACAATTTGGACTAGCTGTTTTTGAAAGTTGGTAGCTGCTCCTTCAGATTTGCAGAAGAGCACTTGACTCCTTCTTCAACAACCTCTTCTTGTTGTTGTGGGTGCTTATATAGGGTTTCGGTGAAGAAGGGCCAAGCCTTTCTGGCACAGGACTGATGATCCTCCTCATTGGCCTTTTGCACTCTTGTAACCTCCACCCTCTCTAATAGGCACATTGCCTTCAGCTAGCAGCTGGGGAAGAAAGGCTCTAAAGGGAAAAGAAACATAATTAATCACTATAATTATTACTTAATCCAGTGGCTCCTCTAATTGCTTTCATGACTAGTAATTAGTAAAAGCAAAGCCCTGCATAATTGCCATGTAGCCCTCTAAACAAACGGTGGAACAGGAATGGCTGACAGTTCCCCAGGAGAGTCTGGAACAGAAGAGCCAGTTGAGGCTTAGAGAGAATGAGGGCTGGACTGTAATTATATGGACCATCAAAAATACCTGCGTTACAGTGGTGCCAACTTTTCAGGCTGTGAATGTCTTCCAGCTCCCTTTGCAGCGTGTCTGTGTTGCAAGGGGGGTGAACCTGTCTGAGCTTATTTTTGTTTGACATTTTAATTTTTACACAAAAGACATACAGATCCCCAAAAAGAAAGAGAGAGAAAGTTCTCTTAAATTGTCACTTAGTTGCAAGATTTTGCATCAGCTAGCGGAGAGTTTGCCTTCACACTGTCTGCTTTTTTGTGCAGTCGGCTATGAATTACAAAGCCTAAGTGAAATGCAAGATATAATAAAGCTCCAAGGAGCCCCCGGTGGCACAATGGGTTAAACCCTTGTGCTGGCACGACTGAAGACCGACAGGTCGGCGGTTCGAATCCGGGGAGAGCCGGATGAGCTCCCTCTGTCAGCTCCAGCTCCCATGAGGGGACATGAGAGAAGCCTCCCACAAGGATGGTAAAACTTCAAACATCTGGGCATCCCCTGGGCAACGTCCTTGCAGATGGACAATTCTCTCACTCCAGAAGCTATTTGCAGTTTCTCAAGTCACGCCTGACATGAAAAAAAATAAGGCTCCCATCAATTGCAGAGGCTCAGTATGGGTAGATTTATAATCTGAGAAATGACCAAATTTTATATCTGCCTAAATATCCTAAAGCAGGTATCTCAAACAGTGGCTCTCTAGCTGTTTGGGTCTCCAACTCACAGAAGCCCTAGCCAGCTTGTTCAGTGGTCAGGAATTCTGGGAATTGGAGGCCAAAACAGCTGGAAGGCCACTGTTTAAGGAGGCCCGTCCTAAAGGGACAAGATTCTCTCTGATTATGGAAGTTAAGTAGGGCCAGCCTTGGTTGATACTTCGAAGGGAGACCGCCATTGAATACCAGATACTGTGGGCTATATTTCAGAGGAAAGAATTGGCAAAAATATATGTGAGTATTCCTAGCCTAAGGAAATCCTATAAAATCCATAGCATCACCATAAATCAGTAGATGACTTGAAGGCAAACAGAGAAAGGGAAATATGGTTTTCTTTTCACTTGAAGAGGTAACCTCTCATCTTCTCAGTCAGGGATGATGTAGAATAGCTACTTCACACTCCAAAGAAAAATATATATGCATGGTGTTTTTGTTTGTTAAGAAAAAATATTTATGGTAAGAAAACATTTTTAATGTTTTTAATGTGAATTTTATGGCTGGTAACACTAAACTGGCTTTAACTACTTTTATCTCGGTATAGCAAAGAATCTATTCCAGGTCTTAGTCTGGAATTTAGAAGAGCTATCCAAAGTGCTGATTCAGCAGTTTATATAGCTCCTTCAAAATTCAGATTATAACCTGGACACACGATTGTAGCTGCCATGTCCGTAGTTTAAGTGGGTTAGTCCCTGTTCCAAATGATGAAGTGATAAGGAGCAAGAGGGAGGAAGGCCAAAGTTATGTTATTGAGCCTTCAGACCTGCAAGCTTCATGCAGGTTTTAATAGATCTGCAAAAGTTTAACAATCCTAAACGGACTAACACTCTTGAATGTTACTCAAGTTTTTCTGGTAGCTGCTTACTGCTCCCCTTGAGAGTTTTAATTCAGTCTTGAAAAGTTTGTCCTGTTGCTTGCTTCCTGTGTATGGAGGAGATTAAGATCACTTGGTTTGTGACTCTCGCAGTATCCAATGCATTTAGCCAGTGAGCTTCAGCACAGGAACACTGTGAACTTTTTTTTTCATCCGGTGCTTTAGGTCAGCTAGAGGCACCCATGGGAACCCTGAGCAACTGTGCAAAAGCAAAGCAGACGTCTGCACAAAGACCTTTAAATCCCTGCAAAGAACACGGCCTCCCTCTAGATGTCTTGGCCAACAACTCCTTCCTCCTGCAATTGGATCCATGGAGGAAGCAATGTTGATGTATTATGGCCAGGAAATATTTTCTGAGCCAGATTATTATCAAAGAATTTGAGGGAGCAAAAGCTTCCCCTTCTGTTCACCTCTTGAAAATCACAAGTAGCTGCACGTTGAGTATGCCTTATCTGAAATGCTTTGGACCAGAAATGTTTTAGATTTTATTTATTTATTTCCATATTTTGGAACACCTGTGTTTGCATATAAGAAAAAAAATGAGATGTTTTGGAGATGGGACGCCAGTTTAAACATGCAATTCATTTATGTTTTATATACAACTTGTACTGTATATGTTTTATAAACACCTTGTATGAAAAGACAGGAAAGCTTAGAGAAAACAATGATGCTGGGGAAAATGGAAGGAAAAAGGAAGAGGGGCCGACCAAGGGCAAGATGGATGGATGGATGGCATCCTGGAAGTGACTGGCTTGCTCTTGAAGGAGCTGGGGATGGTGGCGACCGACAGGGAGCTCTGGCGTGGGATGGTTCATGAGGTCACAAAGAGTCGGAAGCAACTGAACGAATGAACAACAACAACAATACACCTTGTATTCATGGTCTGAAGGTAATTTTATACAACATTTAAAATGGTTTTGTGCATTAAATAAAGTCATCAGTTAACAAAGATCTATCATATGAACAGTTTCCAAAACTTCACATTGTTCTTGGCTACAATCTCCTTTTTGATTGATGAGTGATCAGTGGTATAGAAAATCTTTAAGTGTTTTGATGTCTTCATCACTTCAAAGTTAATAATATTCCATCCTTAATATTCAATTCTAGCCCTGCTCTTATATTTATCTCCTTAACTTAAAGATCATCCCTTTGGGGATTTTTGCAGTTCATGATAGCTGGAAGGAAAACAAGATTGACCATTTCAGAGTTGAGTTAACTTGGCAGGCCGCAGGCTTTGCAGGGCTCTGGTTTACATAAAGGACTGAAGATTGCAAATCTCAAAGTTGCAAGGAAGCTCATCAGAATACACTTGCCAGGTCCACTGAGTTCTATCTGCAAACATTTAGGAGGTTCCTTCTGCTTCATTCAACTCAAAGTAGAAGAACCTCATAAATCACAGGCTGAGAAAATCTAAGAGAGGAGTATTACTAATAGGAAAGGTCAGGGCTTTCAGGGAAAGGAGGAGATGGATACTTTCCAAGGAGCCTTGTCTCCAGCTTACAGTCCCCACCCCATTTCTTGTACTTCCCCTGTTCTGTCCCTTGATATATATATTCTGCCCATGCATCCTTTCTGGAGGAGAAAGCCAGAGAGTAGCAGAGAACACTTTCTGCCTTTTACACCCCGGACATCTCTAAAGACTCTTTAGCCATGAGGAATGAATTCTATTCATTGGCTTTCTTCAGAGCTGCTACAGCAGAATTCTTGGCCACCATGATCTTTGTGCTACTTGGAGTGGGCTCCGCCTTGAACTGGCCCTCTGCCCTCCCAGGCACCCTGCAGATTTCACTGGCCTTTGGTTTGGTCATAGCCACCCTTGTCCAATCGCTGGGCCACATCAGCGGGGCACACATCAACCCGGCAGTGACGGTGGCGCTCCTTGTTGCACAGAAGATTTCAGTGCTAAGAGCTGTGGCCTACATCATAGCTCAGATTGTAGGGGCAATAGCTGGCGCGGGGGTGATTCACCAGTTGACCCCACCAGAGATCCGTGGAGGACTGGCTGTTAATGCGGTAAGTGGAGGAGCAGCCAGTGCTATGGCAAGAGAACATCTGTAGCTTGAACTAATTTAAATGTCAGAAAATAAAATCCATAATGTTCAGTGGGACTTTTGACCGAGTGAATAGAACCGTGCTGTACAAAGCATCATAATGGGAATACATTGCCTTTTTCCCTAAGTGAATGTAAACATAGGTTGAGCATCTCTTCTCCAGAATTCTAAATTCTGTCCTACTGCTCTGATAATTCGGTATATACAACATTGTTTGGTACACAAAATTATTTGCATTATTGTATTAAATTATTTTCAGGTTATATGTATAAGATGTATATGAAACATAAATGAATGTTGTGTTCAGATTCAGGTCCCATCTCCAAGATATCTCATTATGTATATCAGGGGTCCACAAACTTTTTAAACAGAGGGCCAGGTCACAGTCCCTCAAACTGTTGGAGGGCCGGATTATAATTTGAAAAAAATATGAATTCCTATGCACACTGCACATATCTTATTTGTAGTGCAAACAACACTTTAAAACAATACAATAATTAAAATGAAGAACAATTTTAACAAATATAAACTTATTAGTATTTCAATGGGAAGTGTGGGCCTGCTTTTGGCTGATGAGATAAGGATTATTGTTGTTGTGTGCTTTCAAGTCAATTCAGACTTAGGTTGACCCTGACTGAGGGCCGGGTAAATGACCTTGGAGGGCCCCCGGGCCTTAGTTTGAGGACCCCTGATGTATATATATGTAAAATGAAATATATATTCCAAAGCCCATAATGCTTCTATTCCCAAGCATTTTGGAAAAGGGATACTTATGACATTATCTCATGGGCAGAGGGGGAAAGCAGGGGAAAGTGGGGGAAATTGTCCTTAACAATGAGGATATGACCTACCCCGGGAAGATCCATCTTCAGGGATGGCCAGCCAATCCACAATTTTTCCCTGCTTCCCTCCACTTCTGCATGCTGTCTTCAATCAGGGACTTTTTTCCCCATCTTCACATGCTGGCGAGACGGATTTGCATGCACAACCAGAGAAGTGGCTGTGTGTTGTGGGAAGACATCTGTTAGACTCCATTAGACCAGTGTTAGAAAATAGTGAGAAAATGGGGGGAAATTAGTGTGGGATAAGGTCCTTAACCTGTAGTGCCATTGATTTCCTTTTCTCAATTCAGATATTATGCTGTTGTCTGATTAGCAGCAGAGCTCATTTCTTGTCCTGTGACATTCCCTCATTCTCTTTCTCTTGACCTATCATCATCATCATCATCATCATCATCATCATGTTGTTTATTTATATCCTGCTTTTTCTCTGGAGACTCAGAGTGGCTTACATTAAAAGCATTTCAATACAATTTAAAATCCACAAGTCTACAAACATTAAAACAGAAATATTTATTTATTTAGTATTCGAACTTATATCCGGCACTCCCCTGGGGCTCGGAGCGGCTTACAAGAATGGCTAAAATCATAGGTATTTTTTAAAATCAGACTATATCACTAAGTTGTAGTGAAGTTAAAGTGGGAAGGAGGAGAGCCGTGTATCTTGAGCTCACTGGAGGAGAAATGGGATATAAATATAACAAGCATGTGAGATAGCCATTTAGCTTATGTTGAATCCCTCCCTCCACAGTGGCATATGACTATTGGAACTCAACCACAACCTGCAAAAGTTCATAATCCTCATCAAGGAAATAGATAGGCAGATGAGTTAGCTGGCAGGTAAAGCCTTGCCGTCATTTCCATCTCTGACTGTCACTCTCCCCCTGCTTGTTAGCCTAATACATGTAAGGGACATGCCCCTGAGTCCTCTATTTTGTTCATCTCCTGTGAGCATGGACACATAAAAGGTGTCTTCAGGGAGTAAAGCAGGCCCTTATTTATTTGTTTATTTATTTCCTATATTTATACCCCGCCCTTCTCACCCCCGAGGGGGGACTCAGGGCAGCCTCACAAATACACCATACAGTGTCATCATAATGAAACAATCAACAATACATTAAAACATAAAAATATTAAACAATAATTAAACCAATTATAACTACTTTCCTGCATAGAAATGTAGTTCTTTTGATAAATTCTTTTTTATAACTTTTAAAGCTTGATTCTGCTCCTGTCTTGCTGACACTCATTCACTCTACTGCTATGCTCAAGAAGCTTCTCATCTGCTGAACTGCTGCTGCTGTTGTTGCTGCCGCTTTACTTTGGAAGTGCTTTTTCCTTTTTGAAATTACCCAATAATTTCAAAATTAGGCCACAAATCCAGCAACATGAGTTATAATGGGTTGGGAGTGTTGGGTGCCTTTGCAATATGTATAATGGGTGGCTTCCTTAAGGCTCCGTGCTATAGTTTGGCTGTAGCAGAGAGCAGTAGGAAGCCTCCCATTTATTTATTTATTTATTTATTTATTTATTTATTACTGCGCTTGTATACCGCCGTTTCTCAGCCTACATTGGCGACTCAACGCGGTTTACAACACTACAATAATCAACAATATACAATTTAAAAAGCATAAAAACACATACACAATACACAGTATTGGGCCACCAATACAAACCAATGCATCTCTTAACTAAAATCATAATCCAATTTCATCGTCTGTGGTTACCAGTCCTTGATCATCAACTTCATTGCATCGGATTAGCCGAATGCTTGTTCAAACATCCATGTCTTCAGTCTTTTTCGAAATACCATCAGCGAGGAGGCTGATCTTATCTCTATGGGGAGGGCATTCCAAAGTCTCTCGTTCCCGCCAGCTGCACCTGTGAAGCAGGTGGGATAGAGAGCAGGGCCTCCCCCGAAGATCTTAGGGTCCTGGTGGGCTGATAGGCCGAGATACGTTCGGATAGATATGTTGGGCCAGAACCGTTTAGGGCTTTAAAGGCCAACGCCAGCACTTTGAATTGAGCCCGGTAGCAAATCGGCAGCCAGTGGAGCTGGTGCAGCAGAGGAGTTGTATGCTCCCTGCGCTCCGCTCCTGTTAGTATCATGGCTGCCGCCCGTTGGACTAATTGGAGCTTCTGGGCCGTCTTCAAAGGCAACCCCACGTAGAGAGCGTTGCAGTAGTCTAGACGGGATGTAACCAGAGCGTGGACTACCGTGGCCAAGTCAGACTTCCCAAGGTACGGTCGCAGTTGGCGCACGAGTTTTAACTGTGCGAATGCTCCCCTGGTCACCGCCGAAACCTGGGGATCCAGGCTCAGCGATGAGTCCAGGATCACACCCAAGCTGCGAACCTGTGTCTTCAGGGGGAGTGCGACCCCGTCTAACACAGGCTGTAACCCTATACCCTGTTCGGCCTTGCGACTGACCAGGAGTACCTCTGTCTTGTCTGGATTCAATTTCAATTTGTTCGCCCCCATCCAGACCGTCACAGCGGCCAAGCACCGGTTCAGGACCTCGACAGCCTCCTTAGTAGCAGGTGGAAAGGAGTGACAGAGTTGGACATCATCTGCGTACAGATGACATCGCACTCCAAAACTCCGGATGATCTCGCCCAGCGGCTTCATGTAGATGTTAAACAACATGGGAGACAGTATTGAACCCTGAGGAACCCCACAAAACAAAGGTTGTGGGGTAGAACAGGAGTCCCCCAATAACACCTTCTGAGACCGACCCTCGAGGAATGACCGGAGCCACTGCAAAACAGTACCTCCAAGACCCATCCCCGCGAGACGTCCCAGAAGGATACCGTGGTCGACGGTATCGAAGGCCGCTGAGAGGTCGAGCAGCACCAACAGGGACACCCCCCCCCTGTCGAGCTCCCGACGCAGATCATCCACTAAGGCGACCAAGGCTGTCTCGGTACCATGCCCCGGCCTAAAGCCAGACTGTGCCGGATCTAGATAATCCGTGTCTACCAAGAATGCCTGGAGTTGTGAGGCCACCACACGTTCCATGACTTTGCCCAAAAAGGGGAGATTGGAAACAGGCCGATAGTTGACGAATTGAGTGGGGTC